GGGGGGTTGACAGGGGTATAAAAAGTTACGAACAGAAGTTCTTGGAACTCAGGTGGTGGGGGAGGTCACAAAGATTTCAATAATCTAACGAGGGGGAGGTGGGACCCAAGGCGTCTTGTGCTGGTGTGTGGCTTCTTGTTTTGTCCAGACCGGGGTGTCTGTCGTGTGTCCTGAAAAAACAAACGTAAAGACCGAAGCGCCACGACCTAGCGCAATGACTGTGGTGGGAACAGGGCTGGAGAATAAATGTATTCAACTCACCTGTGGAGGGTGAGCAGTCGCTTCGACACGCGATGGAGAGCGTGATGCGATGGTGCAGAGCCCTGCAAACCGGCTTGAAAAATAAGTCTTCGAAACGCATCGCCTGCCATTTAGGGACCATTCCACTGCTCACACTGCTCTCTTTAGAGCCCTGTCACCATTTCCTGTTAAAACTACAAGACTCTAATTGTTTGTATTAGGGATGTCCCGATACCACTTTTTCAGAACCAAGTACTTCCCCTCATGAAATTGTTGATACGAACCAGCATCCTTCCTAGCAACCAGAGCTGATAGAAATCAGCATCCTTCCTGATATCCAGCCCTGTCACAGATTCCCTCACTCACAGTTTCACTCCGATACGCGGTGCCTCTTGTAGTCGGCGCTGGGCAGGATTGCTGCATCGCGTCTCGGTGCTCAGTTTGTGGGAGGCGCTCACAATTCTGCCCTGCTAACATGAATAGGTTAAATCATGATCCATAGTACATGTACAGCACACACGTCCAGTAGACTGCAGTAATAGAGTTACAATTACCCCCTGCTAACATGAATAGGTTAAATCGTGATCTATAGTACATAACATGTACATAACATGTAGTTGTACTACGGATCATTTAACCCATTCAGATTAGCAGTGCAGAATTGTAAATCTACTGCTGCAGTGCATTCTATATGTACTGTATATGTGCTACACATAGAATGCACTGCAGCAGTAGATTTACAAATCTGACCTGCTAATCTGAATGGGTTAAATGATCCATAGTACAGCTACATGTTATGTACTATTATGTACTATGGATCATTTAACCCGTTCATATTAGCAGTTCGGAGCAGCAGTGACGCGACGCTCGGCAAGTTAAAAAAAAAAAAAACATAGTGCAAGCTTCAGCATTTTGTATCGGGGCATAGGTCCCGATACTGATGCTAGTACCGGTATCGGGACATCCCTAGTTTGTATAATAGTGCCTCAGTAAACTACTGAAGAAGCAAAGCATGCATCCATGAAACATGCTGAGACATCCCACCTGATCATCTATTTGGTCAATATTATCATACAATCCGAATTCTTTGAAAAGTGTAATCGTTAGAGACCGTTAATGGATAGGTGATGGATGGGGATACTTATACTTGCACATTATATTGGCTTTTAATATATTGATAATAAATAGGGATGCACAGATACTTTTCGAGTACCAGTGCAGATACTTGGCATTTTCATGAGAACTACCAGGGTTGCAGCGGTTGCAGCTGGGATCTGGCTCTGGCACTCCACCACTGCCCTGAAATCATTAGTCTGTATTGTTTTAGAAAAACTGTCACATGACAATAAGCAAAAATGTATCAGTACTCGTACTTGTAAGTACTCGGCAAGTACCAGTACTCGTACTTGCAAAACTGGTATCTGTGCATCCCTTTATTTATATTTATAAAAACAAAAATCGTACATTAAAACAGAGATGTACAAATTCCAGGAGCTACGTGTGCTCCTTACAAATGACAGCTGCCTCCTAATTTTTGAATTTTTCTCTAGTGTAGTCTTGGAGCTCAAAAGTATTTGTACCGAGTACTGTACTTGGTATCTGTGCAACCCTAATAATAAATGTTGTATTTTGGCATAACATGGAATGTTGTGCTTGGGTATCTCAAAAGTCCATCCTGTGTTGTATAATCATGGTATTTTAACAACAATAGTTGAGAAGTAGGGAGCTGGAGCGGCATCACATATGTAGACGATTGAGGCAGTGCAAAACACCATTTCCTATATCTGTATTTCTGCTCTCTGTCAATGCAACATAAAATCATAAGAGTTAGAAACAACAAAATACCAATTTTGAGTGGATATTAGCAAGGCATTCCTACTAGAGGTTCCATGTCCACCCACCATGCAAATGACATCTCACATTTTCTCATGTAATCTCTTTTTAGCCATAGTAACTACAATAGCAGAACCACATATTTTCTGTACATGTGAGAAGAGGAAGGCTGCATTGGAGACTACACACACAGGAGATGAAGCAAGTCATTTAATATTCACCTAAATGCAATGCAGAAGCAGAGAATGCGTGCATAGGGAGTGACGTACAGAAGGAAACCCCAGTTAAATACCCAGTACATACATTTCACTAATCTTTATCCACCGCCCACAAGATCTGCACTCAAGCACACACAGCTCACTCCCCAGTATTCATATCAACTCTGAGATCAGCACTCCAGTCTATACAGATAATTCCCCAATATCCAAGCTACCTGTGATATTTGTCACTGCACACAGAAAACAATACCATCCTACCTTTTGTTGTCACTCTGAAATCAGATATCTTGAATGAGGAATTCAATTGTGTTACAGCTGCAAGAGAAATCACAGAACAACAATACATCCTATGCAATCCAATCATCTCTCTCTCTCACTGCACTATCACATTTTATGGGCTTTGACTGGCTAGACAGCACATGTTTTGCTAATTATTTTCCCCCTTCTTATGTCACTATGTTTTGGTTCCTCTCCATAAGCCACTGTTTCTCCATAGCTCAGGGGTTATTCATGTCTTTGTTAAACATGCAGTGTTTCACACCTATTAGATGTAGTGTTTGATTCGTCTACATGCTTTTCTCCTTCATGCAGAGTCTCACACATTATTAAACAGTATACCTCACACTTCTATTACATGCAGTGTCTCGCGCCTTACTACTACACACCTTTTCACTCCTCTATTACAGCCAGCACTTGACTTCTCTCTGTTAGATGCAGTGCCATACCCCTCTCTATTAAATACAGTTCCTTTGCACTCTATTTGGCACAGTGACTCTCTCCTCTCTATTACACATTGAATTGCAAAACACAGCATAACATGTTAACTCTGCCATTGTGAATGAGCCCTGAGAGATTTAACCAGCTAGTTAATGATTTACCCCCAACTGCAATTAGTGAAAACTGCCATTAGACCTGGAATCGATTAACATTTTATCAGGTCTGATCTATAAGTGTAGTTCTTTCCATGAACTATGATTTCCATGCGCACTCTAGTGGAACCATGGATCTCTCACTCATACCATTGTAGTTAAACTAGGTTGAAGCGTGTATACTGGAAGTGTCTGGAAGGAACACCTCCTGACAATGTACAGTACTTGGGCTTTCAGTACAGTACATCCATTCCATATACTGTATATTATTCTGCCAGACTTGAACTTTGATAAAGTATGGTTAGAAGCACTGATGATGTGCAGTGAATGTAGCAAACTGTTAAAGATGACCATACACTGGTAGATTTTATACAAATGTTCATTTCTCATCAGAACATTCAATACGCCATCAAAGATTTGACGAATGTTGTTCGAAATTTAGTTTGTTTTTTTCATATTCGGTTTTGGAATAATTGAAGTTTCTCAAACTAAAAAAAAAAAAACACATTCGCTGTTAGAATTTCATTCCTTTGAGAAAAATTTCCATCCTGCATCTTCGATTTCTTTTGTCACTGCTGACAAAAATGATCAATTTGACCCCATTACTGTTCGAAAATGGAACAATTATTCCAAAAACAAAATTGTTTCGAACAAACTTCCACTGGTGTGTGGCCAGCTTTACAGTTCAATTTACTGAAAAATTACAGCTGATTTGTTGTTAGGAGTTTACCCTATAAAATAAACCTGTAACTGTGGACATGGAGACAATTTACAGTCAGAGGAGAAGACAAAATATAAAAATAATAATTTAGTGCAGCTTTTGTGGAGGTGTGATATGTTAAAATATAGTTGACATCTGTCCCCGTTGTGAAGGGTCTGTCCCTGGCAAACAAATGTCCCCAGCAATGTCACCAGCAGCAGTGATATGCACAGTGACATCGGTGTGCTAGAATGCTCTCCGTGTTTCAACATCTTGCACTGAAGAGAAAAAAAAAAAAATTCAGAACTGCCAGATAGAGTAGACCTTGCTGCTCACTTTCAGATTTTACCATGTATGTGTGCCAGTGTCAGAAGCTTTTCATGCATGCATCAAAGCAAAACCTCAGGAGGGAGTCCCTCAGATTGTACTGCACATTATAGCAATTCAAAACCAGCAGCTCTCCAGGGAGGTAACTAGAATTCCAAAAGACCTGGGGGCACTGTGGGGAGAGGAATGAAGTGGCATGCATTGTGAGCCATGGCGAAGAGCGAGTGTGGCCAAATTGCTCTAACAGAGAAAGAATCTTGTGGTTAAAGTCTGAGCCTACTGTGCTCTGGGTCAAGCGTAAATAACGCCCAGACGTAACACACAGAGATCAGGAGTAAGTAAGGCACAGAGTGCAGGGGTCAGGTGTAAGTATTACAGGCCTACAATGCACATATATGCCACACTCATTCTCACAAAATAATCCTAATGCCTCTGTTACAAGTATCAGTCTCACAGACACACAGAAACCTCAGTACAAAGGATCGATATTAAAAAAAAATGTAAATTCTTCTATTACATAAGCTATTCTGCACACAAAAAAACTAATACTTTGTCTGAGCCTAAATTAAAGAAGAACAATTTGAAGGTGTTTATCTTTGGGGGGCAGATTCCTACAGCAGGAATTACAGGTGCCTCTGGAGAACTGTGACAGGCTTACAGCTGTTCATCCATGTTCAGAGGTAATCACGCATGGAGCAATTACTTGTGGGGTTAGAGATAAATGATGGCCCCAGGTCCCAAGCTATCTGGAGGCACCTGTGATTGAATTCTAACAGCAGCTGTTGAGACAATGAACACTATGGTCAGGATTAAATAGAGGGAGAGGAGCGAGAGGGGGGAAAGAGAAACGTGGAAAGGTGGAGCAAGAAACTGGGGGGGGGAAGAGAAAGGGAGAAAATGGGGCAACAGACAGATAAACTAATACTTTGTCTGAGCCTAAATTAAAGAAGAACAATTTGAAGGTGTTTATCTTTGGGGGGCAGATTCCTACAGCAGGAATTACAGGTGCCTCTGGAGAACTGTGACAGGCTTACAGCTGTTCATCCATGTTCAGAGGTAATCACGCATGGAGCAATTACTTGTGGGGTTAGAGATAAATGATGGCCCCAGGTCCCAAGCTATCTGGAGGCACCTGTGATTGAATTCTAACAGCAGCTGTTGAGACAATGAACACTATGGTCAGGATTAAATAGAGGGAGAGGAGCGAGAGGGGGGAAAGAGAAACGTGGAAAGGTGGAGCAAGAAACTGGGGGGGGGAAGAGAAAGGGAGAAAATGGGGCAACAGATAGATATAGGGGGCTCAGAGAAAGAAGGGGGAGGGACACAGAGACAGAAAGGAGAAGAGCAGAGAGGGGGAAGAGAGTGTTCAGAGTGCAGAATGTGTTTGCAGTTCATTCGCCACCTTTATACTCTCCCAGGGCACAGGCTCACTTCATCTCAGACTTGGCCTGCCTCCCGACAAACTCAGGCAGCATACAAGGAGCACAATCCCACAAAACCCCCTTCAGAGTCCACACAGACACAGTGGTAGCAAGCATTTTAAATCTGGCTACCCTTATAACACCCTCCCTAGGCTCAGCGTGCTCTGTAAATCACATGCTGGAGGTTGCAATGTGGGCGGACAGGTACACTCAGCAGCCACCTCCCATGCTCGGCAACTACCTTGCAGACATGCAGCACAGAGCTGAGGAGGAGTTTCAGGGCACTCCCCTCAGCTCAGTACTAGAGTGCATAAGGACCAGTAGAGAAAAATGGCAGGCGGTACAGGCTTTCAGACCCAGGGCACCTTGCAGTAGATGCAGGACATGTGCCCATTGTACCTAACGCTAGTTGTGCCCTAGCCACTCACAAGGGGGTGGTTGGATGGGGCATAAGACCTAGGAGGAATACATATACCCCAAGCCTGTGAAGCTGTACTATCAATGATATTTATAAATGGTGTACAAACAATATGTGCTGTTGTGACAAGATTAGCCTAAAGGTAGCCATTTTATGTATCTTAGTAGGTTAGAGGATTTCCATAGATTTCCAGGAACTTATGTAACCAATATTCTTGTGTAATGTTTCCTTGCCCACTCCGTTGTAATGTATATGTTTTGGGAGTATGCTTCTGTTGATATACAAAATGTCAACTGTTATCTATCCCAGTACCTGTCTGTACCGTGCTATTCTACACGCATGTGTTCGTTTTACCCTATAAAAACTTGCAGCACTTTTCAATAAACAGAACAGCTTGATTACAGAACCAGAACTGTTCTCTGTGTGCACACATACTGGATTTCAATGTATGACTTGGGTTCTGTCATAACAGTGCTTAAACTGATCTGGTATAAGGGGACACTAGTGGACTTTATTTGTTGGGTGGAATATCAGGGTGTGGGTTCAACATTTTTACAACAGCTATAGGTCTATTTTCCTATGGGTACATTAGATATGCTGGAAGGCATCTGTATATGACAAAACAGTTCCTCCGCCACGCACACCAGTGCTGGGGCTTATTATTAATGCTTATGTTAAAAAGATACTAAATTGTGCTCTGATTTACTGCATATCAATAACAACAATAGAACTGAAGCTGCAAATATTGCCTAAGAGATCTGTAGTAAACCAATTAAAGATCTTTTTTTCATACGCAACCTCCCATTTCCACCAGCAATTTTCCATTTTGCTACATATAGAGGGAACTCATCGGACCGATACACTAACAAGTCTAAAAGGACACTTTTCCTCAGCAATGCCATGCATATGAGACATGCAGTTATCTTGTAAATAAAGCCATATTCATGAGAAAACAATGTGCTGATTTACCAGTAAAGAACAAATATCAGTTCAGGATACACTCTGCTGTAATGCAGGTAGAATTATTAACATTTACCACTCCAATGTACATGCGTAATGCTGCATAGATGCTCAAAACCATACCCCTGATCTTTAGAAAACATTACTAGTCTGATGAGGTTTACATTTAGGATGATGCCCCTCCCTGAATACTGCCAATTCTTTTCCTAATGATTCTACATAGAAATAGACATGAGCACTGATCACTATAGCTCATCTGCTAGAGGTGGGGTGCAACCTCTGAACTGGGTCTTCAGGAAGCTGTGAAGATCTAGTATAGGGATCCAGCCTTGCTCCCTTTTACCTAAAATGAAAAAAATACATTAGGCAGAGTTGCTCTATAAAGGAAACCTCTGCTGTGAGAAGTATGTGAGTTGCCATTACTGTAGTCTTTTCCTCCTGTAGTTCACTCTGATTTTTCTGTCTGCATGCTTGTTCTATGCAAGTCAATATACTAAAGCCACAGACTGCCAAGCAACGTTTGAATCAACAGAGGCAGCCTATGTACCGTATATCTATCAGCACAGGTTACTATCTACAATGGGATGGGTGCAAGCTCTTATATTGTTGTAATCACAAACATTGACTGTTTTTGACAGGTGGTTCCAAGGCTTTAACTGGGAAGGCCTACGTAACCGGAAACTACTTTCACCGCTGAAAAGAGAGGTGCGTCTTTTCTACAATACAGTACTAACCCGTCTCCTAAGCATACACATTTTTTGCACTTACTTTACTAGAATTTTGAAAGCAGTACTTTCACAATGGAGAGTTATGGGGCATTGCTAACAAAAACGTCCCAGTAACTTAACTTTTCCTCTACTGTTTACGGTCCAAGGTTGTCTCATGTCATATATGTGTATATAGACTACACAGTATCTTGAAGGAGTCATCAGTGTTTAGGTAACACAGAACAATCCAATTCCTGTGAATTTATCTGCCAGGGCTGTTTGTACAAGCAGCTCCAACCGTTAGATCACATAGCCCTGCAATGCAGAGTGAACTTTTATGAATAAATACTCAGGGCAGTCAGGGCCAGTACAGTGTATGACACAGCCCAGAGAGAGCGGAGTATTGTTTTATAAAAGCTTGCATAGCAGGACTATGTGATCTATTTGCTGGGGCTGCTTGTGATCACAGCCCTGCAACACAGCGTAAGATTTTATAAATGAATGATCAGTGTTGTCTGGGCACTGTACTGGCATAGACAGCGCGGAGTGTTCATTCATAAAAGATTACTTAGCACCGCAGGGCTATGTGGTCTATCTGCTGGAGAAGCTTGTAAATACACAGCCCTGTCAAATAGATCATAGCCACAGTGCTGATTAATCTCTTCTTACCGTCAGCATCGGTCTCCAAAGCAGCCTCTTGCTGCCAGAGACCAGCGCTGTCACTCAAAACTCCATCTCCTTGCTAGCAGCGTGGTAGGATAGAGGTGCCTAAGCCACGCTGCATACTAAAGGCAGGACAGATTTGAACATGACCAAGTGCTATATGCATTTTTAGTGAGATGACTTCTTTAAAGAAGAACTCTGGGAAACTCATAACCATTGCAGTGGGGCAACCCCCACACTGCAATCAAATTACTTTTACTGAAATCATATGCAGATCAAAAGCAATTCCTTTATTCTGCAGATACATAAAACACAGTAAATACAATATAATAGTAATGTTGCATTTTATTTCTAATTGAAACTTCTCCAGTGTTAGGCCTCATTTAGCCCGTAAATGGGCTGATCCCGGGGTCAAGTGCTGTATGCTGTCATCTGCACACCCAAACTTGCACATACGTGCAGATCTGTGTGTCCGCACTTGGATGCACACTGTCTGCGTCCCAAGTGCGGATACCCGGACCCGCACGAATGTGCAAGTTCGGGTGTGTGCGGATGACAGCGTACAGCCAGATCCTCCCATAGGGAAGAACAGGCTGCGGCATGCAATTACACGCAGCACCTGTCCCTCCCAGGATCAGCCCATTTACGGGCGTGTATGCCCTGTCTGAATGAGGCCTAATGAACACTGTTCAGAAGCTCCATTTTTCAAAACCGCTTCTGTGTTACAAAGCAAATCTGAATTGCTGGCAAGAGCAGTAGAGGTAGCAGGAGTGGGGAAGAAGGACAGAGTGTGCTACTTATGCCCTGTGTACTATGTTGAAATTGCTCACACAATACCCAAAGCCCTAAAGAGGTTAACTGTTTTCCCTACAGGTTTTTTCCCCCATTTCTTATAGCCTCTTGGCAGGGGGATGTTTGGCAAAATAAATTAGCAGAATTTGCGTTTTTAGTGCAATGTCTGACCTTGCACGAATCTTACACTGAATTGGTTATCTATGCAACACCTTATTGTAGAAGGCAATCATTTAGCAAAATACTCTCTCGTCTGCCAAGACTGCAGACATGAAATCAAAGCTCTGGTCTGATTCATGGTTTGTACCGTGTTTCCCCGAAAGTAAGACCTACCCCGAAAGTAAGACCTAGCACTATTTTTCAAGATTCCTGTAATAGAAGACCTACCCCGAAAATAAGACCTAGTTTGGTGGTAGCATGTACTTTACTGCGCTGTCCACTGTCTGATGTCCCTACTGCTGCACCGCTGGTATCACTGTCCCTGATGAAAAAGGAAGCTGGCGCTGTAGAAAGCAAGCAGAAAGCGATGGCGGAAGGAGCAGAGCCGCATTAGCCACTAATTCGTCTATAGTGCCTGTTACTGTGACAGGCGGAGTGATACCAGATGCACTCCGCCTGTGAAAGAACAGAAATTGCTTTACTGACCAGTAGGAAAAGAAATAGAGCAACAGTAATATTCTCATTCTTACCATACCATTAAGGTCCGTAAATAAAACAGTGGGCATTCTGACATTCTGAAGTGGAAAAAAAAGACATCCCCCGAAAATAAGACCTAGTGTGTTTTTTGGGGACAAAAAAAAATAAGACAGTGTCTTATTTTCGGGGAAACACGGTATATGTAGCTGGGAATGATGTTTCTAATTCGATCACCTTGTTTTTCTACAGATCAAGTCAATCACAGATCACAGCTATTTTGACACTTTTCTGCCTGAAGCCGAAGATCCACCAGATGAGTTATCCGGATGGGACAAGAACTTTTGAAGAAATATCAAATTATATAATTATCTTGGTTTGGGTTTTAAAAATAATTCTAGGACTGAAAATCTACGGGTTTGACTAAGATGACACTTGGAAGATTACGGAGTTGTATTCCAGAGAAAAAAAACAGAAAGAAGCTTTGATAGTGTACTTATTCAGGAAAACATGCCAGGATTATGACATTTGTTTTTTTTCCCCTTTCTCTTAGCTGGCTGACCCATGATGCTTTGTTAAGATCATGCTGAAAGCCAGGTTATTATTAGGTCGTTTCAAACACTTTCTCAGGAGTGCTGTTCTTTGCACTTGTAGAAACTATTTAAGATAAATTAAGCCGTGCTTAATAGTTTTTCTGCTTTAAGATTCTGATCTGTAACAAAAAATGCCCATGACCTTTCTGAATGTATGTGAGGCATTTCAACTGAGCAATCCTTTCAGGTTTCCTCTGCTAGGTATTCAGCAGTTATCTGCATATGAAACATACAGATATTGTTAGTTTAAAACATGCACATGTAGCATATTTTATCACACTATCCTAGTCTTCTATGCCACTGACACTTCATGTGGATAGTTTAAAATATCAAAGCAACACACTTAATGCAGTGAAGAAAATTAATTTAAAGCTTTAGGATTGAGGCCAAACAGAAAGTGTCCCATTTACACCACTTGTCACATTGCTATAAGACACTCAATTATATGAATGGCATTTTCATGTTAAATGTAATCGGAAGTGTTTCTAAAAATGCCTTTCCTGTGAAGAGCTCAGAGAAGATCATTTATGAAATGATGGAGATATAAATATTTGAAACATCTCAGCAATATGATTCCTTAAAGGAGAACTATGAGGTGAGTGATTTTCACTCATCCTCATAGTTCTAGCCGACATGTGACAATAAAACTGTCACAGGTTGGCTCAGTAGATCAGGAAGTGAGCGAACACATACCGGTGCTCGCTCACTTCTTGAACCTGTCACTGCAGAGAGCCGTGACAGGGGAGGGACTGGATTCCCCCCTCCCCGCTCCGATCCTCCAGCGCTGACTGGCGGAAACAGACGGGGAGGGGGCGGGTGCAGCTGGCTCTGCCTCTAGATAGGCAGAGCCAGCTGTCACTCACGCAGCTGGGTGGATCCAGACATAATTGTCGGGATCCGTTTCAGCTGCGGCGTCTCAGTATACCACGAGCTGTTGCTCACGGTATACTGAGCTTAGGGTGACGGGAGGACGCTAGTCGTGTCCTCCCGTTACTCTCAGGAGAACTATGGGGAAAAGCCCTAACCCCATAGTTCTCCTTTAAGTATGATTTCCCTTTTAATTTATAAAAATCCATTCCCTGATTATGTTCTGCTAATTGTACACTACTGATGGTACAACGATCAGCTGCTTGCTTAGTGTTAGGCTGGGCACACACCTTACAACCATCCCAAGACTTTTTGGTTGTAAGGTAATTAAAAAAACATACGATCTGCCTATCTTGGACAGGGAGATCGTACTTGCAAGGATCGCAAGCCGCGCCCCCCTGAGGGGCGGGCTTTTCCGATGACCGCAATGCCGAACGGGCAGTGTGCGCTTGCGCACACCGGCCCATCCGGCTTTTATCTTACCTACATGCTACACACCCGCCGAACATCGTGCAATGCTCGGCGGGTTTTTGAACATGTTCCTAAGATAAAAGTTGTGCGACCTTACAGTAGTAGAGGTCGCACGGGTTCCACACACCTTACGATAATCGTATGATTGCGGGATTTCCAGCGATTATCGTACGATTATCGCAAGGTGTGTGGGCACCTTTATAAGTTAGCTAATTCCACACAGTTCTGGCCTTGACCGTGATGGCTCTAATGGGAGCAGCAGTGGAGGAGTCACCTTCATGGTGATAAAAGGTAAAATTCCACATGAAATTGCTTTTTTGCCACTCATATTTGTCACGTTGCTTTTTGTTTTAATTTTCCCTAAAACCTCAGATACAAATTTTATTGAAAAAGTCTAAGATTATATTTCTGTAGTTAGTAGAGATATCAAGATGATCTTCTTGCATACTTGCATGAATGGCTCCTAGAATTTAGTTTGATCTTCAGTTAAATCACAATAGTAGACAAACACAATCTGTTTAAGGGCTGATTCACTCCAAATTTCCTTGTCTTGTATTGGGGCTGAACTGGAAAAGATGGTCAAACGCAGCCCCAACGTAAGACAAGGCAATCAGCGTTCTCAAGGATGGGCACAATTCACACCACCGATGAAGCTGGTTCACACTTTTGCAGTTCAAAATGTACAAACTTTTTACATAGCTCTTTTGAGAAGTTTTCAAGTGCCCTTTTACAGCATTTTGTATGTTTTCTTAGAAGAAAGCATACATCCTGTGTTAACATGCATGAATTGTGGGATGTACTTGCAGTTACATCGTCTCTGCAGCAGATATGCTTCTTTAAAAATGGGCTGGATGTAACTACAAATATGTGAACAGTGCCATTGGCATGCATTTATCTGTACCAACCATACAAATGCTTGTTTATTAGGAAAGCACTGCCATGTGAGTGAGTGCATTGGGAGAGGAGATTGCCCTATTAGAGAGAGAATGCAATATTAGAAGTTGCCCTAGTGATAAAACCACTGCTCTGATGGGTGATCTCATTATCTTACATGTATAGTTGCACAGGGAAGCTCTTCTCTAGCCCAGGCCACTTTGAAAGTGATACTTTGTCACATGACAGAGCCAGATGATTTCTGGGCAGGAGCAAAATGGTCTGCATGGCTCTACATTTAATGGTCCAGGGGAGGGTTGAGGCCATCATTTAGCACACATGCATAGGTGGATGGCACAATGGTGGGCAGGATGTTTATTGTTTACACTATTTAAAGAAACAAAGCAATTGTGTAAGATAACATGGTATGCCGGTTGCTGGGGCCTGTAAACTGTAGCAATGCATGATCACTCACATGCTCTTGTGGCCTGTGTACCTTCTCATATTCATTTGCATTTACAAATAGAGTATGTATATTGAGTTATATACAAATACAGAGGTTGCAGTCAGTCACTGGAGAGTAACAGTGATCAGTCTTGCAGTTGTGTGAACAAAACATGTTGATATGGTTAAAACCTGAAGTTGCTCTGCTATAAGGGAACCTAATCCATTCTCTGCCAGTGAAAAGACCAAAATAACACCAACTTTCATATATACATTAGCATCCAATGACTGCTTCACTTTCAAGCAAATGGCCATACTTGTGGTTTACTGAAACTCCAAATGCCAAATCATTGCAAACCAAATACAGTGCACAGAAAACTCATCTATCCAAAAAGAATAAGAAGCAGGACTGGTTAGGTTTCAGCAATTTTCCAAGTTGCCGCCTCCCCCTATCCTATCAGTGAGGAGCTATTGACATGTCTTGTTGGGATACAGTTCTGTACCATAGACTGTGAGAGTGCACTTTTTGCATTGTGCAACAATCATTCTGGATATGACTACACATTATATTCTGATCATCCTGAAATGCAGTGACACTTTTACTACAGCCTTTAGGAGATTGCAAACAATTTAAAAGGGAATATTTACAAAATTAAAAGCACAAGATTCCTCTTAGAGGCGAATATTAAATTGAAAAAAAAAGTCATCCACTTCAACCACAGTCAACCACAAAATTCATGAACGCCTGGCTAGTCAATGAGCTGCTTAAATGTAGATACCTTTGTGATTTCTCTGCTTTGTTTTAATATGAAAGGCTAGATTAGTGGTTATTAACTAATGAGTTATAGATCACCTCAACTGTGTTACCTAAAAGCACCAAAGGCCCACACATAATATTTCCAGTATATGCAAAATGACTCCGAAATTACAGACATACCACAGGAGATGGTCAGAGACTGCAGATACACTAGAGATGTTTTTGGAGACTGGAAACCTGCTGCAGAAGACAGGGGGACTCAATTCTGTTTGTCTGGTATCACACTTGATGGTTATGATAACTTATGAAAATGAGTGGGAACGAATATTTAAAAAAAAGAAAAACGTTTCTATTACAGCAATTCAGTCCCAATGTATCCCATTAGTAACCGTGGGCATTTCTGCAAATCCTTTTTATCTGACAACATTACTGTATGTTTCATATTGTTCCAGAGTACACCCCTGCCTTAGTCATAATGCAGAAAATAATCATTTTGGTTCATTTCAACTACGTCGATAAGTGTTTTAGAGCCCAGAATTTGGGCAGATATAGGTATTGCTAGTGGAAAGGTACACGCAAGGAGCATTGTTTAATCATTATGCCGCTGAATTCAGACTTATTTAGATATATCCTACAAATGTAATTAGTTCTGAACTCCAGGTAATATTTGGTACCAAGTAAACTAAGGTTTTCATAACTGGACACAGCCATGTACAGCAATATAGTGCAAATAGCAATGATGATGTGCAAAGGACGGTAATCAATCTTAACCAATCAGTATTATCTTTTAACTATGGTATAGTGCTTGGCTATTATGGATTACTGTGGATAGCATCAGTTCTGCGCTCTGTACTGCTGTATTGCAGTAGCACATGTGAAATCACAATTGGAAAACAGTGTAGTATGAACTTGCAGTGAGGATCTGAATTTCACAGTGATAGGGCCTTTGTCACCCCTTTCCTACATCCGTCTGCAGTGACACCTAAAACTTTATGATGCAGATATGAGCTATGACGAGACAAAATGTGATATGTGATCCCTAAACAGAACATTAGATGATTATTATTTGATACTATCGAATAAACTCAATTAACATAGTAATTTGTGTGATTTTTTTTTCTTATATGAGTATGTCTATGTACATGCATGTTTCTTCGACCATGCAAGCACCCAACACAAAGATATCACCCTACCTCTGCCATCTGAACATAAATTGTATGAAAAAATTTGGGTACAGATTTGTAAGGACAAAGAAAGTCAAGAACAAACGCAGATTGTTTAGGTGTGGAGTTGTGACGTTTGAATTGCTGTTTTTTTGTGTGCCCGTTGGGGGATATTTCCTT